TTCTATTGTCCTACTGGCACACATTAAGATTGATGTGAGATTAAGGACCATCACCCTTCTAACAGTCGATGGAAATGTCAATTCATCTGAATTTTGAAACACTTATTCACCCATTGATTACCTGCATAGGTGCACCTTGTTGAGGCACTGTATTAATTCAGAACTACAAGCGCCAATCTTCTCTTTGGCTATTTTTTTCTTCTATAAGATATGTACAATGACTAATGGACATGGAATCATAAATCCCTTCTATATAAATGTTTGTATGTTGTATAATTATTGCTTTCAGTTCTTGTACTTTTGTCTCTGGTATACTTTACGCTGTTCTATTTGTAGTGAATCTTTTGTTTCTAGTAGCAGTCTGATTTGTCTCTTTGATAAGCCCTGTGGAGATTTGATTATTCCAATAAAAATTCATTCACTTGGAAACCCACCCTCCAGCTGTTTACTCCCAGAGTCCCTGAACTACACTAATATTAGATTTGGAAGCCTTGAACAATATTTAACAGTGGAGTGGAAGGCTTAGAGAAGAGGTATTTTTACCAGTCTTTCGTTGGGTAAAGTTGTTATGGAAGAGGCTTTGTGTCAAACTAACACAAAATCTTCGTCAGAGAATATAGTTTATCAGAGAATTCCCCTCTTCACTAATAAGCTAGTGACTGTTTCACTCCAGCCCCAGCGAGAGTGGAAGTTCACCTCTGGCCTTGGAAGCCTATTGAGGCTCCCTTACTCCTGGTTATTATTCCACGTTGTTTGATAGCCTGAGGCTTGTTTCCTAAATGGAATGTGGATGCACTTATTTAGGGAGAGCCACCTTCTTAACCTAACCTAGAAAGGAGACCAAAGCTGCACACATCCCTTATAAAATAATTGCATCCTAGTTTAGCATCATCATTACTCGCCTGTTATAAATCTTCTAGTATGAGAACCCTGACTTTGCATTTTCAGAGGAAGATTTGGGGTGGGCAGAATATGGCAGTGTAGAAGGAATTAATAGGTAATTTGGAACTAGAAGTGAGAATCTAAATATTAAATGAAATTTCTGGTCAAATTTGATGTTTTGAAAAATGTGACTCCAAGTCATATGGCCTGTCTCTTTCTCTTGGCAGGTCCTGTTAGCCTGAGCACACCAGCTCAGCTTGTGGCCCCTTCTGTTGTAGTAAAGGGCACTCTTTCGGTCACCTCCTCTGAACTCTATTTTGAGGTGGATGAAGAGGATCCTAACTTCAAGAAAATGGACCCCAAGGTGAGAAGATGAGGAGGGGGTTTCATTTGTTTATATTATGGGATGTTGGGCTGCTGTGTGGTAGGATTGGCATTGGTAAAATTTCACAGACTTAATGTGAATTTCTTGGTGAATTGCCTCTGCTTACATGAAAGGCAGTTGTACGTTATTTTCTAGCTTATGATTTCTTTACCATTTAGTTAGAGTACTGACATTCATTTAGATTAAAAAACAGTTTCCATTTAATTGCATTCATCATTATCTCTTTGTTAGGAAGGGGACCTTGGGGAACATTGTCTATAAGTATATTTTGCTGTGAAAGGTCCAGGGTGAATTAAGTTACAAAATTCAGTGAGATTGAGAGTGGAATTATTTTGTTTAGTCTTTATGTTTTCTGAATGTAATACCAATCTATCATTCTCCTTGCTTTGTTCCCATGACTTACTAGTCTGTCCTGCACGCAGGCATGTTTCGCGTGTGTGTGATACCTCTGTTTCCCATTACCTGTAGTAGATTTTACAAGGCACTGCATAATTTCCTATTCTTAAATGGAAATGTAATTTCCCCTTTAAAATGTATTTTTGATTACTTTTCAGACCTTGGCAACTTGATTTTCACTAAAAAACATTTGTGTCTCCTAACCATCATAAAGCCATAATTACATTTCTTTCAGAATGTGCTCTGGAACAGTTTCTTTAAAAATAAGCAAAATAACCTATAGAAAAAAGTAGTAGTTTAAAAATGGAACAATTTATTTTACTGGTTGTGTGTGTACACATATACACTTTTGCACACATATTCTGTATTAGTAGAAAGTTATTTGGTTTTGAAATTATATGTGAATTATTAAACTTCAGTGATTTAGAAACATTTCATTGATAAAAATGTTACGATATCATGCAAATGCTTAACAAACAAGTCATTTTTTGTCTTATGAATGATGCCAGCACTTTGTTTTTTATAGCTTTGCCCGTATTGAGACAGGTCTTGCTGGACTGTGTGACTGGAAGGCCAGGAAGGAACTGATTCTTTTGAGCTAGATAATTCAGCTAATCCAATGTAGAAAGAACTTTAATTCTGAGATTACATGACCTAGAAATTTTTTTTCTGCTCTGTTGATGTCTGAAAATGTGTTTTAATTTCCTTAGGCAAGAAAGGCTATGAAAATTACTTAAACTGCTGGATTTCTGGTAGTTTGTGAATTTAAGAAAGGCTGAGATTTAATTCAGAATATTCTGTTATGCTTTTGGGATATATGTGGCTTAAAGTCGAAAATCTAAATTAAAGGTGTCTAATGAATTGTTCTGAAAATTAAAACCTTTGCCGATCTTTGTGAGTAGGTTCTTTGAAGTTATTTGCTCCTCAGGGAAAGCTATAACTTTCATTTCTCTCTGATCTTATTCCACAGCATCTTTACATTAATTTTCTCTCTGTTGCTTGTGAAATATGGGCTTTTGTAGCTTAATCATAGAAATTGTTTGTGTAACTGCACCCTACCTAATGTCTCATAAATTAAAGCTCTTGCTGGTTCATATTTAAAGTTTTTTCCCAGCGATTATTGCAAGATTTTTTTATTTGATAGAGACCTGATGCTTTAAGGTATCCTGTAAATAACATTTTGCTGCTGTTGTGATTTTCTTCCCCCAGGTACTGCATTAAATAAGTGGGAAGAAAGATTTTGAATTTCAGCTGTTTTTGCTTTTTACCTTCCTTCATGGACTAGTTGGAGAAAGTTCTGTTTCTAATATTATAAATACTTTTTTGATTGAAAAAAATGATCATTTTAAGATAGCATTTTTTTCTTTAAAATGAAATACTGTGCCTGTATATTATTTCATGCAAGTACCTACTGCTTGCTTTGGAAATGTTCTTAAAACTCAGGCCACATTTTCCCCAGAGAATAAACTTGTTTTATTATTTTAAAAAATTAGTGAGTGTTCTGAATTAGTGAGTTTGTTTTATATCCACAGGAAGAGAGACCAGAAAAATAGATATAATATACATTGAAAGGGTGGGGATGATTTCAGAACTGATAAGACTAAAGCTTATGTGTTTAACACAACACTATTTTACTAGAGAACTTTAACCAGGAAATCCTACAGTGTGAGCCTTCTTTATGGAGTGAGCAGGCTGCAGGCCCTGAGTAGCTCTCCTGTGTTTCCCCCATCCCTGCAGTCCTACTGCTCATCCTCCACACGCACCCCCACACAACTTCTGACCTGAGCATAGCCTTTTAGAGTGTTTTTCTCTACACCTTTCACTCATGTTTGTTTTTCAATAAATTAAAAACTAGGCTAATTCAAAAATGCCATTTACATATTAAAGATAACATCTGCCATATTCTGTACCTGTGCCTCAGAATAGCAAGGCTAATGGAATATATAGGTTTCTTTTCAACAAAAGAAGACAAACCATTTCTTTTAGGGTACTTTCAGTTTTACTATGTTCCAAATAGTTATTTCCTTGAATTAAAAAGAAACCTTTGTCAAAGTTGAAACATTGAAATGAGTTAGTTGGATTGTTCCCTTAGAAAAGCAGAAAGAGAAGGAAGAGAGAAGGAGGGTACTTTTCCTATTAGTAAATTCTTGAGACAAATTTTCTATGGTCATAAAAACGGTATGAAGACCTTCTCTGTTTGAAGTGTCTCTATGCAGTTTCAGAATAATTCTTGAAATGTGATAAAAATGATCATAGATCTGACATTTATCATTAAGTCCTTTAAAAACTGAAGTTATTCATAAATGTAAATTGTTTCTATTAGTTGCTGGAGAAGCATATTGCTGTACCAATTTTATCTTTCAGAGTGGCTGATTTAGTTGTTAAAATTTTATTCAGAGGTTGAAGAAGACAAGTGGTTGAAGACAAATATCAACTTTGTTAACTATTCAGAAAAGATCCATAAAAATTTCCTTTGTGTTGGATTTAAAAAAAAATTATGGCATAAAAAAGTAAATCTCTTAATTTTTAAATGTGAAAATTTTTATTTTAAAAATTAGGGTGAAATTATTCTTCCACATAGTTTACTTTTTGCAAATATGAAATGTTAATCTTAAAATCTATAGAACAAATACACATTATAAATGAGAAAAATGAATATTGTGTTTTCTAAGGATTTTTGTGGGAATTTATACAGTTACTTCTGCAAAACATGCTGAATTTTAAAATTTGCTACTCAAAGTTCATGAAGCTTCCTGCATTTAGTTAGTTCTCAAGTTCACCTTTTACATTGTGAATTAAAGCAATCGGTCTCACCTGCCTTCATTTAAGAACAACCCACAAACAGTCGGTACAATGTAAAGTATTATTTTTATTACTGTTTTCAACAAGACGTCTTAGGATATGAGGGTAGAGGTGCAAGAGAGGGAGGGCACAATCCGACATTGGCACTGAGATACATTTAACATCAGCAAAACTTTTTAAAAGAGAAATTTTACATATAGTTAAATAAATTTTTCACTTGGTGACAACATTCAGGCAACCGAAAAAAAAAAAAAAAAAAAAAACGAGAGAGAGGAGGAGAGGGAGAGAGAACGGACACGGGGTAAAGGAGGAAAAGAGGGCAACTAGTATACATTGATTTGAAAATGTACCTTGGGTTTCATTTTGTGATGGCAAAGCCCGATTGCTTCTTTTTGTGTGACCTTTTAAATTCACATTGTTTGTAAGAAAACGATCACTTTTGTGCAAGAATGTGATTTTTTGGTTGGTCTGCTCTCTTTTGTTCGCTTCTTAATTAAGGAAGGTCTGCCGCCGATTCCTGCCTGCTCCAGGTGACTTACATAAAAGTTTGTGTCCAGAGTTTCCGCCGTGCGTCGCTGAGCGGTGCATTGCATGTGAGAGAGCACGCTTTTCAAGCGGTGCCCAGCACCCTATAGTTTGTCCAGGCTTTTGGGATTGGTGAGGATTTCCCTGGCCAACCTCCAGGTCTGCTTGGCAGCGCTCTCCAGGGCCGAGTGGGGCTTGCCCTGGAAGAGGTCGAGGTTGGGCAGAAAGTAGTGCGGGCAGCGGCGGCACTGCAGGCAAGAGATGAGCTGCAGCAGGATGCCGTTGAGCCGGTCGCCCAGGCACGCCTCGTCCCAGTCCGTTTCCCGCGGGTGCTTCTCGCACTCGTACAGCAGCAGGGTCTTCATGTGGTAGTTGTTGAGGGGCTGGCCTGGCAGCTCCAGGTGGCGGTCCCGCAGCGTCTTCAGCACCGAGAGACACTTGTTCCGGCAGCCGCCCATCAGCAAGCGGTTCTCCGCCTCCCCGAACTGGAGCACCCAGGCGTCGCTCTCCGCTGAGCTCTGCTTGCCGGTCAGCGAGTAGCACTCCTTGGAGAGCAAGTTGAACCCTTCGGCCTTGACCTCCGCCACCCGATTGGGGCCGGGCCAGGGGATGTGGGGCATAGGCCACTGTGCCGCGCTGCGAGGCCAGATCCCCGTGCACTTGAACGCCGGCGTGATCTGCACCACGTAGCGCTCCCTGATGCGCAGCTTGACCTCGCTGGTGTCTGCGATCATCTTGACCACGTCCCGGTAGCTGCACTTGTCCACCGCCTGGGCCACCAGCGTCTGGAAGCGCGAGCGGATCTTGCGCGCGGAGAGGTAGCCGGACGCCGTGATGAACTCGACCCACAGGGACATGCTCCGCTTCCGCCCGTCGCTCAGCTTGAGCACCGCGCAGCCAGGCAGCGAGCCGTCGTCCACGAAGTTGAAGACGCCCATCTGGTTCAGGTAGAGCACCACCTCGAACTCCGTTGGGGAGATGACCTCCAGCCCCTCGTAGCGCGCGTCGATCTCGCTGAGGGAGCTGATGAAGCGGGGCTCCTGCACCTCCACCTCCTTGAGCACGTCCGAGACCACCTTGCAAACCTCTCGGATGGTCTTGGCGATGGCCGCCTTGCGCGCCTGGCAGCGCTCCGTGTAGTACTTATTGAGCTGGTAGACCAGCTTGGCCTGCGCGGCGATCATGTTGGGGCACAGGTCCGGGCTGTACACCGGCGTCTCGCAGTACGTTGAGGGATCCAAGGCTCACGCGCTGGTGGTGGCCCTGCGGCTTCCGAAGAGGCGGTGCGCTCCTCCCTGAGCCCCACTTTCTCCGCTTCCCACCTGGGCTGCCCGGCTGGCTGGCGCTGTAGCCGGCCGGCCTCTTCCTTTCCCGCTTTGGAAACCCTATTTTCTTCTGCAGAAGGTGATGGCGGGAGGGGGAAGGTCCCGCAGGGACCCTTTTTAGGGCTTTCTCTTCTGTAAGTAAAATAAAGATAACCTTGTGCAGGGGAGGTTGAGGGGAGAGGAGAGAGAAAAATTCAAGTTACCAAGACGTCTAAGTCTGCAGCCGAGATTGCCCAGCTATCTGGGGATGAAGTCTTTTAAGTGCCAAAGTAAATTTAAAAATAAAAGCCAAGCATTCGGTGGTTCATTCTTTAAAAACTTCTCTCCCGCGCTGCTAGGGCGTCTTCAGCCCGTGGGGGTGATGCGGTCCTCCGCAGCAGCCCCCAGTCGGGAAGTGCAGGATGTAATTAACGTCCAGCGAGCGGCGGCGGAGTGCAGCCCAGTCCGGCGCGCGCGAGGTTTGCAGCCCCCGCCGGCTCCGCGCGCTGCTCTCCTGTCGACTCAGAGCTCGGCTTGGCGCAGTTTTTCTCTTTTCCTACTGGAGGCGTTGTTTGGATTGAGTTGGTTTGGTCCTAGTGAGTTCTTCTTGTCTTTCCCTAGGTGCAAACCGCTGGAAGTTGTTTGATACTCATTTCTGCTTCGTAATTTATACTTTTGGCCCTCACAAAATCTATTTTAGTGTGACGAAGTCGTTGCTTGCGTTGCATCTGGCGCGTAGTTACAAAGATCCAGGGTTTTTACTCTCCTGTAGGTTTCTTGTGCAGATGCCACTTTCTGAGTCGTCTCTCCCCCTCCCCTTCTATCTCTCCCCTCCCCCTCAGATCTCCCTCTC